TTATGTTGTATTTCTATATACTATTATTGTATATTGATTTTTTGTATCCTGAAACTTTACTGAATTCATTTATTCTAACAGTTTTTTGGTGGAGTCCTTAGGGTTCTCTATATATAAAATCATCTACAAATAGTGACAGTTTTATTTCTTCCTCTCCAATTTGAATGCCTTTTCTTTCTCTTTCTAGTCTAGTTGGTCTAGCTAGGACTTCCAATAATACTGGGGTTGCCAAAAAATGTATAAACATGACTTGTATTCATCTTTGTTATCAGTATATATTGAGTATTACAATTTTAATACAGTGTTTTCCTTTCTTAAAATGTGTCTACATTTTTTTGGCTCCCTCTGCATGTTGAATGAAAGTGGTGAGAGGGGGCATCCTTGTCTAAGAAGAAAAACTTTCAGTTTTTCACTGTTGAGTATGATGTTAGCTGTGGGCTTGTCATATATGGCCTTTATTATGTTTCCTCTACACCCACTTTGTTGAGAGTTTTTATCATGAATGGATGTTGAATTTTGTCACTTTTCCTGCATCAGTTGAGATGATCATATAATTTTTATCCTTCATTTGGTTAATGTGCTATATCACATTGGATGTGGTTATATGGATGGTTAAAAACCATCCTTGTATCCCTGGAATAATTCCCACTTGATCATAATGTATGATCCTTTTAACATATTGTTGAATTTGGTTTCCTAATATTTTGTTGAGGTTTGCATCTATATTCATCAGGGATATTGACCTATTTTTTTCTCTTCTTATGGTGTCCTTATCTGGTTTTGGTATCAGGATAATGCTGGACTCAAAATGAGTTTGGAAGTGTTTGAGAAGGATCAGTATTCTTTTAAAATCTGATAGAATTCACCAGTGAAGCCATCTGGTTTTGTACTTTTGTTAAGAAGTTTTGAATTACTAATTCAATCTCCTTACTAGTAATCAGTCTGTTCAGATTTTCTATCCATGATTCAGTCTTGGTAGGGTGAATGTTTCTAGGCATTTGTATCTTCTAGGTTGTCTAATTTGTTGGCATATAATTGTTCATAGTAGTCTCGTATGATCCTTTGTATTTCTTTGGTATCAGTTGTAACATTTCCTCTTTCATTTCTGATTTTATTTATTTGAGTGCTCTTTTTTATCTTCATAGTCTAGCTAAAAGTTTGTCAGCTTTGTTTCTCTTTTCAAAGAATCAGCTCTTAGTTTTATAAATCTTTCCAATTGCCATTTTAGTCTCTATTTCATATATTTCTGTTCTGATCTTTGTTATTTCCTTCCTCCTGCTAACTTTGGGCTTCAGTTGGTTTTTTATTTTTCTAGTTCATTGAGGTGTAAAGTTAGTTTGTTTGAGATTTTTTGCTTCTTAATGTAGGCGTTTATTGCTATGAAGTCTCCTCTTAGAATTGCTTTTGCTACATCCCATAAGTTTTAGTATGTTGTATTTCCATTTCCATTTAGATCCCTTTCTCTTTACATTTTTTTTTGGTATACTTATTATAGGTGTTGATTTGTGGTAACCATGAGGCTTAGATATATAACATAACAAGTTAGAGCTTTAGAATGAAATCAACATTTTTACTCTTCCCTCACACACACATTTTTTACATCTTTTTATCTTGTGTATCCCTTAACTAATTATTGTCATCATAGTTACTACTTTTGTTTTTTAACCTTCATACTATATTTATGACTGATTAATCTACACCATTTCTATATACTTACATTTACCAGACCAATATTCCCTTCTAAATATTAATGCAGAAATCTCCAATACTAGCAAACTAAATTTAGCAGCATATTAAAAGGATTATATACTACAAACAAGTAGGATTTATTCTTGGAATGTAAGGATGGTTCAACATATGAAAATCAATCACTGTAATATACTACATTAGTAGAATGAAGGAGAAATAAAGACATGGTCATCTCAAGTGATGCAGAACAATCATTTAGTAAAATTCAACACCCTTTCATGATAAAAAACTCAACAAATTAGGAAAAGAAAAAAATCACCTCAAAATAATAAAGACCATATATGAAAACCCACAGCTAACAACATACTCAATGGGGAAGAAGGAAAAATTTTCCCCTAAGATGAAGAACAAGACAATGATGCAATGTTTACTACTTCCATTCAACATAGTATTGGAAGCTCAGAGCATTAGGCAAGAAAAAGAAAGAAAAGTCAAGCCAACCAAATTGGACAGAAGGATGTAAAATTATCTCCCTTCATCGATTATATGATTTCATATATAAAAGCCCTAAAAGTTCTAGTAATAACAACAAAAAATATCTTAGAGCTGATAAACAAATTCAACAAAATTACAGGATACAAAATCAATACATAAAAAACCAATTGCATTTCTATACACAAATAATAAACAATCTGAAAAGAATAAACAATTTAATTTATAGTAGCAAAAATAATAAATACTTAGAAATAAACTTAACCAAGGGAACAAAAGACTTGTACACTGAAAACTACAAAACATTGATAAAAGAAATTAGACACAAATAAATGAAAAGACATCTTCTGTTCATGGATGGACAACAATGTTAAGATGTCAGTACTGCTCAAATTGATCTACAGATTCAATTCAATTCCTATCAAAATCCCAACAGCTTTTTGCAGAAATAGAAAAATCCATCCTATAATTCATATGGAATCCCAAATGGCAAAACAATCTTGAAAAAGCAGAACAAAGTTGCAAGTCTCATACTTTCTGATTTCAAAACTTACTACAAAGCTATTGTAATCAAAGCAGTGTAGTGCTGGCATACAGAAATACATATAGACCAATGGAATGGAATAGAGAGCCCAGAAATAAACTCATGCATATATGGTCAAATTAAATGTGCCAAGATCATTCAATGGGGAAAGGACAGTCTTTTCAACAAATGGTGCTGGGAAAACTGTATATCTACATGCAAGAGGATGAAGGTGGGACCTTACCTTATACCATATACAAAAATTAACACAAAATGGATCAAAGACTTAAACTTAAGAGTTAAAAGTATAAAACTCTTATCAGAAAGCATAGGGAGAAAACTTTGTAATATTGGATTTAGCAATGATTTCTTGGACATGACACTAAAAGCACACAGGATACAAAAGAAAAAAACAGATAAACTAAAAGTCATCAGAAAATTATATTTTCTTCCATTAAAGGATGCTATCAACAAAGTAAAAATGGCAACACACAGAATGGGAGAAAATACAGTTGACTCTTAAATAACACCAGGGTTAGGAGCACCCACCCCCATGCAGTCGAAAATCTGTGTATAACTTTGACTCCCAAAAACTTAAGTTGTCCCTCAGTATCCATGGGATATTCGTTCCAGGGCTCCCTACAGATACCAAAATCTACAGATGCTCAGTCTCCTGTATAAAATGGTATAGATCAATGCATACAGTTGGCCCTCCACAACCATAGACTCCCAACCTCAGATCAAAAACAGTACAGGTATATAGTGAAAAAAATCCATGCATAAATGGACACGCACAGTTCAAACTTGTGTTGTTCCTGGGTCAACTGTATTTATAAATGATGAATCTGATAAGGGATTAATATCCTGAATATACTCAGGAGAACTACAACTTAACAAAGCCTTGAATAGACATTTCTCCAAAGAAGATGTACAAATGGCCAATACGCAAATGAAAAGATCAACATCACTAGTAATTAGGGAAATGCAAATCAAAACCACTTATCCATTAGGATGATTATTATCAAAAAACAGAAAAGTGTTGGTAAAGATGTGGAGAAATTATAACACTTGCACGGTTGGTGGGAATATAAAATGGTACAACTGCTGTGGAAAATAGTATGGTAGTTCCTCAAAAAATTAAACATAGAATTACCTTATGATCCAGCAATTCCACTTCTGGGTATATACTCAAAAGAACTGAAAGCAGGAACTTGAACAGATATTTGTACACTAATGTTGATGGAAGCATTATTCATGATAGACAAAAAGTGGAAACAACCCACATGTCCATTGGCAGATGGATAAACAAAATGTGGTATAAACTTACAATGATGTATTATCCAGCCTTAAAAAGAAAATAAGTAAATTCTACATATGCTAAAGTATGGATGAACCTTGAAAACAAAGTTAAGTGAAAGAAGCCAGACACCAAAGGACAAATACTGTATGATTCCACTTAAATAAGGTACCTAGAGTAGTCAAAGTCATAGAAACAGAAAGAATAGTAGTCACCAGGGACTGAAAGAATGGGGTAATGGGGACAGGGTTTAGTTAGGGATGATGACAAAATCCAGAGATGAATAGGGGTGATGGTGTACCACAATATGAATGTACTTAATGCCACCGAATTATACACATAAAAAGTTAAAATGGTAAATTTTAACAAATTATGTGTGTGTTTTATCACATGAAAAAAAAAATCTCCCACTTGTTGGTGTGTCTTTGTAAACAATAGTATCACACTGGACCCTTCAGAGCCCATCTCTTTATCTTTTGAGTTCACACCTTCCAGCATCACTGGATCAGACAAACAGATAAGACTGACAGGGCTTTGGTATGCTCCACTATATAGCAGGAGGAGCAGTAACTGGCTTTGGGCATAGTTGCCTGACCTAGGAGGACTACTTTTACATTAGATCCTTCTCCTTCAGTGGTTCTTAACCTTTGAGATCTTTTGAGCATCTGATAAAAGCTAGAGCCTCTTGCTAGAAAAAGGTCAATAAACACAAGATGTCTGCTTATCATTTTAAGGGTTAACAGCTCTCTGTGGACTGCTAGGAAGCCCAAAGACCCCCACATTAAGGATTTTTGCTCTAAAGTGACTCTAAGGGATATCTGTCTTCTTACTCAAATAGCAGATGTCGGCTAAGGGCCTGCTGCCTTTGTATATTACAGACACTGTTGTTGTCAAGGGTATTTACTGTGATAGAGTCTGGCTCTGCCAACCGTAGAAAAAGCTTAATAATCTCCATGAGCACATATCAAGAGAATGTAAGCAGGGACTAACTATACATACCTAAGTCTGCTTTTGTTCAGCCCTCCTGGGTTTAACTAGAGAAAATGAAGCCAAAGAAAGGAAAGAAATGATGGACTTCGTTACTTAGATGAAGTTAGCAAGAAAACAATAAACCAAATTACTTACTCTCTGGACTGAAGGAGGGACTGAGGGGCTTCTTGAGAGGTCACCTCTAAAGTTGACCACCACATTCCTGGCACATTATGCCGAGAAATCTTTCATATGGTTAATCTGAGAGGGCTTGATATTCTCTGAATGGCTCTCCGCCATTTGCCATTTGTTAGTAAAATGGTCACAGACCACAGGATAGCTAACTGTTCCACTGAGGCACAAAGAAAACATGCCAGCGAATGTCCTTGAGTTGGCCCAAAGAGGGGCAAGATGGCCTGCAGGCTTGCAGCAGGCCCCTGCATGTGTCACTGCAGCCTCCCCACTGAGTTGGCTAACATTCTACATATCACCTTTTTCTGCTTCCCAGTGCAACGGGCCTTGCATTGGGCCTGGCCTAGCTGTGCAACATAGACAAGTCTTCTGCCAGACACGGGATGGCATCACCTTACCTTCAGAGCAGTGCAGTGCCCTCCCGAGGTAAGAGAAAACCATGGACCTCCTTTACCCAGCCCCTGAGTCAATAGCACAGAAAGATGGTGGTGAGTGAATGTTCCTCCTCCAACCTCCCCCAGGCCCAGGGGTCACATGCCCTGCCCTTTCACCTCCATTATCCCCAGGCCACTGGCCTCCTCAGAGGCGAAGGCTCAGCGGTGGCCTTGTGCTTGCCAAACGGGCCAGGCTGTGCTTCCCTCTCTTGACGATGAAGCGTATAGAAGGTGTTGTTCCTCTGAGGGAAGCTGACAGCATAGGAGACCTGCACTAGCCCCAGGGTGGACAGGACGTGAGGTCCACAAAGTGGCCACCATGGCCACCAGATCGCAGGGGCTCCACCAGACCGTCACTCTTGTTGACCTCCCTCTAGAAGTTATGGTGAGATCAGGGCCCTGATCCCTGGGTCTCTCCCTGTCATTCCTATCCAGCCCCCATTTCCTGTCATACCTCCTTGTAGATGTCCCCCAGGGTGAGGGCTCACCACACCCACCTAAGACCCCAGCCCCTGAGACTGGCTCCAGGCTCTGCCTCTGCCCGTCCCCACCCTAAGCAGAGCTTATGCTCAGGTCCTGCAGTAACGCAGACTTTGTGGAAATGAGCAGGCAGAGGCCCAGAGAAAGGAAGTGGCCTTCTGAAATCCTACAGCCATTCAGTACCAGAGCAGAGATCAGAACACAGGTCTGGTAGCACTGGTAGTTCTTGAGTTGCCCGACATTCTTGGGTTTGCAGCATTGTTTTCACACCTGCCCCCGCCCTGACCCAGTCCCCGCAGAGGCAGACCCTAACCTAGCCCTGCCACCCTCCTCCTGCAGGCCCGTGAGCACCCAGAACTGCTGGTCAGAAGCCTGCAGCGTACACTGGAGAGTCAGCCTGTGGACCCTGTGCACAGCGACCTGCGGCAACTATGGCTTCCAGTCGCGGCATGTGGAGTGCGTGCATGCCCGCACCAGCAAGGCAGTGCCTGAGCACCTGTGCTCCTGGGGGCCCCGGCCCGCCAACTGGCAGCGCTGCAACATCACCCCATGTGAAAACAGTATGTTCCAACCCCAAAGAGCCTTCTGCAAATTCCCCACAGGGCATCGGGTGCAGAGGGCGCTCCGAGCACAGGGCATTAGATCAGGTTTCCCCAAGGCTGTGAGCTGGGGCCGGAGTTAGGTATTTTCAGAGGGGTTCATGGCTGGGGGCCAGCAAGCAAAGATGTATGCAAGGATGTGTGTATACATATTCAAGCCACAAAAGATGGCTGGGTGTGCCCTACGGGCTCCATCCTGGCCCTGAGAGAGCCAGGTGCTGTTGGCCAAGTGTCAGATAAAACCAGCCTGTAATTCACCTGCAGTCATTCGGCTGGTGCCCATGGGGGACAACTAAACAGTGGCTCCTGGGGCAGGCTACTGCAGAGAAAACACTGCTCACACTAACGCAGCACGCAGAGTGCCATCTGCTCAGTTGGCCCTGCACCCATCATGGCTCTACTTCCAGAAAACGAGGACCCACTGACCGCCACCCTCCCCACCCCCAGCCCCACGGGCACCCACCGGACTGGGCAGGAGCACCTGCCCTTGTGCTCTCTACTCATTCACTCCATCTTCCCTCAGGTCTGATCCTCCTCAGCCCAACACCAGCACTTGTATCCTAGATGGGTGGGAATCTATTTTTTCTTCCTCTGGACCCAAAACAAATCAGAGGCACTTTCCCACCAGGAAGAAGACAAAGCATGGGGCAAAGAAGAGGAAATTTTAAAACGTTGCAGTGCCATTTTCTCCCCCAACAGAGAGGGCCTCACTAAGCATCAGATTCCCACTGCTGAGGCAGATGCCCTGGAGGCAAACTGTCCCCTGTTGCTGTCTCTACCCTGGGGAGGGACAATCTTTGTCCTCCTGTTGGCGCTGCCCCTCCCCCTGCCCCTCCCCCTTCTCCCACACTCAGTACCAATGTTCAGTGAAGATAGTTCAGACTCACTATGTCAATCACAGATGTCCACAACCCAAATCCGCAGCCATACTGAAGAACCAAGTAGCTGGTGCCGATACTGAACTAGAACGCCATGGTGCTCCGGTGAGGCCTGGTAGCGGGCAGGAATAGAGAGGTTTAGGTGGGGAATACAAGAAAACAAATCTTCACAGGGAAAGGAGTCTCACGTTCGGGGGGATGAAACCATCAACCAGGGCCTCATGTGCACGCCACCTTAAAGTGGAGCAAAATTTAGTCCTTCAGGGAAGCACCACAAGGAGGACAGTCAGTGGCTAAATCACCATGGGAAAGGCAAGCTTGCTAAGAGGTGAGGCAAGGGTGACAACAAGCACCATCAGGAAGGAGGAGCACTATCAGAAAGGCAGCAGAGCAGGCCCAGGGCTGGACCCCAGCATTCAGCCAGCAGCTGCAGCCTGTTGGCAGCCTGGGGGGAGCAAGTGGCTGAGCCCCACCAGAGCAAGGCCTGCCCAGAAGTGCTGGACAGCAGTGGCCCCTGCTGCACAGGAGTCCGGCGCCCGAGGCGGACCCCAGGAAGCACCAGTTGGCCACAGCTGTTAGCCTGTGTTTCACGTTTCCTTTCTGTCCCCCTTCCCCACCCCGTTCCTCCTTCCCAGTGGAGTGCAGCGATACCACCAGGTACTGCGAGAAGGTGAAACAGCTGAAACTCTGCCAACTCAGCCAGTTCCAGTCTCGCTGCTGTGGAACTTGTGGCAAAGCGTGAAGACAGGGCACAGGGAAGAACTCTACCCTGGCCGCACAAGGACTCACGCAACCACCTTGGACAGAACTTAAGCTTTCTTCGGTTTATTTATTTGCCCCTCCCATCCCAACCACACCCCCTCTCATCCAGCCCCCGCCCCCTCCCCCCAGACATGAGGACCTCAGCATGTCTTCTCTTTCGGTTAGATGGAGGACAGGATGTTGGGGAAGGACACGGACGGAAGTCTAAAGGAGGTTGCAGAGCAGACCAGGCCAGACAGCAGGAGCTCCCTTGCAGAGCTGCCCACCCCCCTTCCCCAACCTGGGTTGCGAGGAGACCTAGGAAGAGGCAGGCACAGCCCCTGGGGACAGCAGGGGGCCAGAGCTCCCAGCAGGCGGGAGGGCAGGGTCCCAGACAGTTTGTAAAGCATTGGTCCAGACTTTGGACAACCAACTGTTTCTTGGCAGCACCCTGCTAATGCAGGGGCTTGCTGCTCCTCTGCCCCTCAGCCTCGGGAAAGGCAAGGGGGGTGGGTGGGGGCACAGCATGCTGAGGCAGAACCCAGCCTAGCACTCCATGCTTCTGGTGGGAGACACAGAGCAATGAGACTCAAAACATGGACGCGTAGGGGTAAAGGAGGGGACCATCTAAGTAGGCCTAAAGCACACGATATGGAAAACGAAGAAGTGAGGGAAGGAAACAACCCAAAAGGAGCCTCTTCACGGGGGCTGTGAAGACAGGGGAGGAACAGGCAGGCAGGAGGCTCACAGACGGGCTGTGAACCCCGTGCCTGTGGAGGGCACTCTGTAGGCTCAGGGGAGGGGCTGCTCAGAGCTCTGCTGCCCGCACAGAGGGCAGGGCCTCTGGTCAGAGACATGCCTCCCTGCTCCCTGCGCTGTCTCAGCGAACTTTCTGCCTGTGCACCGGTAGCAAAGCCACCCGGGCATCTCATCATCTAAATCTAGAGCCCCCCCCCCAGCCTACAACTCACTGCTGATGTGGGACAGGGGCATTTTGAGCATTAACAGGCCGGGGTTTCTGCCTATTTGGCCTTTGCTGCCCCACTTCAGGGCCAGGGACTAGAGTCAATTTGTCAAAAAGCAATCCACTCATCCATTTGCCCGAGCGCATCCATCAGGCCACAACCACCATTTCATGCCAGAGCTGGCCAGGGCATGGGGTGCGACAGCAGGCTTGTGTGGGCCCCGCCCAGAGACCACAGTGAGAGTGCGCCACACGCCTATCCATGCAGCAGGCTGGAGAGGGGGAGTGGGGCGTGGTGGCAAAGCTGAAGGATAACTAAAGCTTCCAAGAAGGTCCTTGAAGGCTTTCAACCCATCCCCCCACATAGTGAACTACTAGGAATCAACATCTACCAGTTGTGGTGATTGGGTAATTTGACAGGCAAAGCAGCACACACACATACCAGCAATGCCATCAGCTAGAGTGAGAAAGCTTTAGCAAAGTCAGGTAGCAAAACTGAACATCTGGGATTATTTGGCAAATTGCTGATTCAGCAAGTAGCTTTGGACAAGTGATGTTGGTCTCCTCCCCCTGAGTGGCCACAGTTTCGTAGTCCTGGCAGGGCAGCGTGGCCAGAGCCACTCACCCCTCAGATAAACCACCCCCTCACATACATTCTGGTGAAGTGCCACTCGCTTCAGGGCCACCGCTGACATCAGAGCTGCATTTTCCAGCCAGCCGGGAAGTAAAAATGGAGGGGAAGGCGACGTTAAGCTGTGTCCTCCCTAGGTGAGCTATGGACAATTAGGTGGGTCTCTGTCTTCCTCACCACAAACATGGGCTCTAAGAAATCATGTTACTTAAAATCAGTGTAATGTTTATTTAAAATAAAATAGAATGTTTTCTATGTCTGTATATCTTTTGTGAATATTTATTAGGATTTCTTGTATAAAAAAAGTGCAATATTAATAATTGTACATTGTCATCCAGAAAACAAAATATTTGGAGGAACTTTTTAGTCACTTCCTGCAGTTGTGTTCCTGTAAACTCAGTGGCGATTATTGTATTGTTCCTACTTTTAATAGAACCTGATGTTTAACTCTGGATCCATTCACTGTGTACAGAATATATTGTAAAAGTTACCGTGGGATGATGGGGCAATAAGAGGTGATTCATTTGTGACACAATAGTTAACTCATGGAATGAAGAAGACAAATTCCATACTACTAATATGGCTGGTTATTTTTAGTTCAGTAGCTATTGAAAACCAGTGGCCAATATTCACATTTCCTACATAGCAGGTGTTCTCCAGCTCTGCCACGTGCTGGGTTAGAGCCGCTGGAAGTGAGTTTCAGAGCAAGCTTGGAGGACCTCGGTTTGGGGTGGGAAGCCGTGTGCTCCTTGCATGACATGAATGTTCATTTACTGTTTGTTCTGTGAATTGTGACTCCACAGCACCCCACGATTATCAGGGCTGCTGAATAATGTGGAAGGAGGCACTTCCTCCTCGAAAACACAAGGCTATTTATATTTTTTGTACAGATAATACAGCTTATTTATTTAAATCGTGTTGTCTGAGTCTCTCTTAAGCTCAGCCCGCCCACCTTGTTTTGTGCACAGGGTGAGGGAGGATCCCAGCCACTTGTGTACGTTTGGCTCAAGTGGGAGAATGGCAGCTTTCAGCTTTGCATGGGGCGCTGGAGGCTTCTGCCTAGAAGGGCCAGCTCTGTAAATGGACCCTGAGAAGCTATGTGTGGAGATGTGCACACACTCAGGCTTCATGCTGCCCTTGCCAGTCATCTCATTTACAGCCCTGGGTAGCGGGCAGACAGGAGCCACAGCACCTTCAGGAAGAAAAGTAAGCATGGGCATCTCTGAGTTGATGCAGACTCGGGTGCAGGCGTCCTGCTTGCACAGTGCACAGGGTGAAGTGGCTGTGTGCTGACGTTCTGGATGTACTCGATCAGTAGGGACTAACAGTTACAGATCACCACTGCATTTAATCCTCACAGCAACCTGATGATTATCTCCATTTACATGTGGGTAGACAGAGGCCCAAAGAAGCCCAAGGTCATTCAGCTGGTGGAACAGATTCAAACTCGAGTAGTCTGGCTTTTTGGCCAAATTGCTCTTACCCATTGTGCTGCCTCAGCTGCTCTGTGTAGGAGCCGACCATGCATGGCCGCCTTGGCGAGTGCACCTACTGCTTGGAGGTTGGGAGAAAATGACAATGGGACAAAAGCAAAAGCACACTGTAGAGTTCTTCATAAGCAGGCTCTGGTGAAAAGGCACCATGTCCCCAGGCCCAGACAGTGGCCATACATGGGCCCTTGTGAGAGACGTTCCAGAGGACCCCAGCCTGAAAGCCGACCTCCAGCCTGTTTTCCAGCAATGCCAATTATTTTCTAAGGAGTTTTAGGTTTTGCTTTACAGAAAAAGCCAATACTAGAACTATAAATATTCATATACCAGCAACCAATGTCCTACGTGACCCCAGTGGAGGGGGAAATGAGTCAGAGATGCCAGAGAAAAACCCAGGAAGGCTAAATGGTGGGAAGGGTTCAAGTAGGCTGTATGAAAAATTTTCCAGCCAGACTCACAGAGCTCAGCAGGGAGAAAAGAAATTCCTACCAAGATGCCACCAACCACAATGTAAAAGTTTGGAACCTTAACCACAGGCCAGTCCTGGCGTTGTAACTCCTCCCACTGGAGTCGCCTGCTTGGCCTCAGCAGTTTCCAGGACATCAACTAGAAGAGCCCAGGAAATCTGTGAGTCAACTGAGACCAGAATGGTCAACAATCACGCAAGCTCATTTATGCCTCAGCTTTCACACCTTTACAAAGAAGATACCTCATAGGATAGAGCTGTTGTGAGAAAACTATTAGTTAATACATGCTGAGGAAATATAAGGGTGCTCGGTATATCGCTGAAGCACTCAATGAATGTTAATCGCTTTTATAATCATCCAAGCTACCTTGGAGAGATGGCGAGACGACGGGAAGAGCTGGCAGAAATGTCACTTTACTTCCCATTATCAGCTTTTTAAGACTCTCCCCTATGTTTCCTTGTCTGATTGAGGACATCAGTCAATCCTTCAAAGTTCAATACTACACAATACTGTAAATAAGAGAGGCAGTAATAAACCAAACTCTGCATCTTGGAAGAAAACAGATCAGTCCATGTAGCCCACTCAAAGACTCAACAAAATACTGACAAACTTCCAGAAATACTTCCCAAGACAGGCATTATCTTCTCATTACAACATACACCCTCACCACAATTCAAAAATACCCAAATGTACACATGGCTGCTATTTGATTGACTAAAAGACATGGAAAAAATACTCATTTGTGAGCAAATATACACGTAAAAGCTAAAATTCAGGATATCTCACTTACCAAGTGGTAGGTTTTCTCATCAACAGCACACTATTATCCCCTCACCTCATCCTGCAAATAAATGCAAAGGAAATAATCCAACTTTATTAAGGATTCTCAGCTAAAATGAGATGTTAGATCTCACTAATCTGTGGGGCCCCCCAACATAGGCAAATTTATCCCCAAAGGCTAAGGGAGTGCTGGGGTACAGAGAAGGATGAAGCTCTTGGGAAATAATCTAATGAAAACTGACCTTTAGTGAATTAACCCCAAGGAAGGATAAATTAGGAAAAAAAGTAGGGTGACACGCCCTTGATTTTGTCTCTCCCTGTCACTCATTTTGTTCAATGAACCAGCTATGATTTAAAGGCTTCAACATTCAGACTTAGAATTCATTGAATGGGAGTTAAATCAGGGAAGGTTGTCTACCCATGTCACATACTTCCAACTCGGAAAATATCGGTGATGATGCAAGCCTTGAAGTAAACAGTAAAGAACTGAATACCCAGTGAATTCTATCAATCCCCTAAGATGAACCTACAATTATTGTCTGCCCCCCCCAACCCATCCCGTCCACTTAGAGCTGCTTTCACAGGTCAAATGTATATGAGTTGATCAGACAGTGTTATCTTTGGCCAAACCTCAGCTTCATATTCATAGCACCCCAATGTCTTCAACTGTTTTGTTTTGGGGGTTTTTGCCCCCACTAAACTGGAAGGCAGATATCGGTAATCAAGCCTCTGCTAACAAGAACTGGGCTGTCACCTTGCCTGTCAACTAGAGGTTTACAACTCCACTCAGATGGATTCTGTGAAGCACCTGGACCCAATCAAACACGTGTCACGCTTCTGATAACACAATATACAGATGTCACTCACCTCTGTGTTTTCCAAGGCAAAATCCATCTTCAATCAAGGATTTCCCAGGCTGCTCCTAAAGACATGGTTTATATATGTGTAAACAGAAATTAAATGTGCAGTTTTCTGTAAGTGAAGAGAAAGCAGACAGTGGGGAATGGTTCTCCTGCTGAACATAAATACTGTTTAAGTAGAATGTTTAGGAGGACCTGAGAGATTGCACAGTCATCATTTAGACCAGAAAGCATACCTGGGAAACCTGCCTCCTTCTCCAAGATGACAAACAGCCCACTGCCAAGTCTCTGCAAAGGCCAGGGTTGACCTCATTACAAATCCCATGAAGGATAGTAGACAGGCTGTGAACAACTTAGTTACCAGGTGAGCAACTCTAGGAAATGTTTAACAGTCAAGGCAAGAAGTGTAGCAATGAAGTGTGTCATTGTCTTGGTTTTCTTCCCCCCGCCAAGCCCCACCATCATTGTTTTAAATAACAGTGAAAGGGCCAGGAAATGACTTAGCTCTGGTCAACTGAAGGATGAAGTTGTTGAGTCACCCAGGTAGCTCTGTCCCATAGCTGGAGCTCAGCATGTCACAGTGCCACAGGTGGGTGCCAGGTCCATGGATCATTCACTCCTAAACTGAATTTCTTCGCCTGCACAGGCCCTCCCTATTGGAGTGAAGATATTCAAGGTCACCACCCGAGAGCATGCCCTGAGCAAGCCCGTGAAGCATTTGCCAAGTTGCTTAATATCAGTGAGCCTCAGTTCCCCACTGGAAGATAACAACAGAGAGGGTTGCATGTGGATAAAGTGAGACGGCATGTGCTGATGCGGTTGGAACTCGAGAGACTACACAGAAGATACACGCTTGTGTCCCCTGTCCAGTCAATGAACTTTCCCAGGCTCCTGTGCCCTACACTCTGGCTATGCCATAACCCCCCATTTATCAAGAGGCCAAACAACCTCAACCATCAGTGACTGGAATGTTTCAGCAGAGTGGACCCTGAGGCACTGCAGGATCCACTGAGGTTTCGGAATCGAAGAAAGGTTCAAACACATGTTTGCATGCATGTGTATTTTATTGTATTCTAAACTTATTTGGAAAAAAAAAAGTATGAAGATGGCTTGGCGGTATTTCCCCATGTGTGTTCCAGTAGACTTTACACAATAAAAGGGCTCTATTGTCAGAGTTGGAAACTGTTTTTCCTGCCTGTTCAGCATTCATCCCTCCCTTCCCTGGAAACACCTCGGTTTTCCTTTGGGGACCCATCCTACCCCCCAGCCCTCCCACAGTTCACGGAGTGTGCATGGGATTGACCCCACACATACACACTGTTCGGGCCAGGGGTGGACCCTGATTCAGGCCCGGACAATGGATACTTTCTATCTCCCTGGCCATGGGGATCAGTTCAGGGATCAGCATGAGACTCAAGCCAGGCAGAAGAGTCTCAATTCAGGGAATTTCTACTAGAACCACTGGAAAGGAAAAGCCTGTTAGCTAAAAGGATGCTGTAAGCTCAGAATTGCTGGAAACTACCACAAGAAAAGGGCCTGCCTAAGAAAGCAAAGCAGAAGAAAATACAGCCAAATAAAGATGAAGATCAAGCACCCATCACAGCATTTGAGTCCCTGGAACCAGCTGTGCCGAATGCACAGATAAAGAAAGCTCTAGGCCGTTCAATTGCCCAAACCAACAAATTCTCTTTTTTACTTGAGCAATAGTAATTATAAAAATGCTGATTCATGTACAAGGTTACACGAGGGTAAACAAGGTTCCTTTACCACAGAGTTTCACAGAGCCCTCAAAATATCAACACACATCATGAATCTCCAACAGGAGGATACAACGTGCAGCTTTCCCCAGACTTGTGTGTCCAATGAACTTTTTTTGAAGACCATATCACAGGGCTGGTGGTAGTCCAAGAAAACACCTTAGGAAGGGCTAATATATATTACCTGTAGGTTAACGTCATATTAAAATACTTCAAATTCCCATTCCCTTATTATTCTGGATAAATGAGACAAGTGGGAATTCATTGATCCAAAACTGTTGATGCATTTGTCCAGACTTCAAAACTGTGTGTGTATAATTTTTTATTCTTTTTATGAAATTTAGGTCATAATCACAAACCATGGTATATTTTTCAGCCTTAATAAAAAATGTATGTGCGTGCATGCGTGTGTGTGTGTGTATTCTTACTTTTTTATTGTTATATTGGGGTTATAATTCCTGAGCTGCCATACTTTTGAGTTCTGCATTTTTTTAAATTTGGGGGGCCTCTAGTCCCACTCAAGCTATCAGCTGTCACTCCTTTTTGTTCTAAATGTGTCTGCCTCTAGCAGCAACCCCTCCTACTATTCTGTGAGGTAGTAAACCAGATAATAGAAGTTCATCGGAACTGTGTGTTTAAAAGAAAAAAAAAAAGTGGAGCAGAGTGGCCAATACGCCGTGAGCGCGCCAGGGTAGGGGGCGTGCACGGAGTCAAGTACCTGAGTTTCCATACATGAAATTGCATGTCAATGATTTTTGGCAACTGACAGGCTGCTTATATCCAGGTTCTTGCCTCGGTTTTGGACAGCTGAAGTTTCCAAATAACTGACCTTGGACTATGGGAGGTGTTACAATGTTTAGCCAAGAAAAGAGCCACTCCAAGTTAATAGTAAGCACTGAGCTCTGCTTAAAACTTTAAAATGAAAAGTTTTTGGTTTTTTGTTGTGTTTTTTTTTTTTTAGCCCAGGAGCGTTTGCAGTCCAAAAAAATTCAATTTCTTAGTTTATAAGTCATTCACTGGCATAGATGTCAAATTGCAGTCATTTTTCAGGCATTTTGTCTGCCTGTAACTCTCAAGTAGATGCTTGCTTGTTTAAAGGGTATTTTTAGGCTCCCCTGTTTTATGATCCTATAACCTAAAATGGATGGGGATTTGGGACAATGGGGAAGTAACCAAACTTCCCCCTTGTCGTTGAAAGCACAGCTTTGACCCTGAGTAGACAGGCAGGGTACAGGTGGGCAAGAAAGCCGGCTGGTCAGGACAATAAAAGCCCAAGAAAATCAGTGTTAGAGTCAATCACAGGAGTGAAATGTACCTGAATCATTTTGGTTAGCATCAAACTGCATTTGTTGCCAGATTTAGAGGCCTGACAAGGAAAACCATCAGGACTCCTCACGTTGGCATCCAAAGATCCAGACTCAGGGACCGGAGTACCTGTGGCCCAGAAGTATGGCTTACAGAGGAGCCCATCCTGGCATGGCCCTGATGCCTTTTCCAGAATCCAGAGCTATGTTCTGGAAGGTCCACAGGCTCCCAGACTCCCACTGCACCCCCAAAGTTGGGAAGAGCCAAGCACCTGCTGAACCAGACATGTGGAAATACTGAGCCTACACTGCCAAAGCAAACACCCCTGCCTGCCCCCTACCCCCAGTATTTATGCTCAGAAGGGCCTCTGTCTTCCCACTTAGAGGCCTGCTGACCAGATGTGGGCCTGGGTGATGGCAGGGCAGGCCCAAGAAGCCAGGGGGCCATTTAATCAGCAATTAGGACCTGTGCACACCCCCTTCCTGCCCCGCCTACTTCTTCTTGATGACTGCACAGCTGCAAAGCACTTTTGGAGAAAATGGTTCCCTCAATTCATCTTCAGGCCCTAAATTACCATATCTCAAAAAGGTACATCGCTTTGGAAAGGTTTTGCTAATGCCAATCCCATTGCCTTGAGCAGTTCGCTTCACTCCTGCTTTAGCAGCAGAAGCATCGACTGGGGTGGGGAGGACAGTTACTCTAACATGTACATTATTGCCAACACGTTCAGGGCAATGAGCCTACAATGAAAAGGTATTTGGAGGACATCATATGAAAGCAACACCATGAGACCAAGCGGGGAGTGACTGTGCATCGGCCATCCCAGCACAATCTCCGGCCCTGCCCAGGATGGCTGCTCCGCTATCAGAAGTGAGCTGTGGTCTCTGTTCAGCGGAGGACTGTCTCTGAACTCCGAGGCCTTCCTCCATGAAATCGCTGGTGATGTCTAAGAGGGCTAGGAAGGCGGATGGATGGGGCTGAGGATGCAGGTGGGAGAGCATTGTCTGATGCTGTCTGCACAGCCTTGGGAAATGGCCTGGGGCTCAGAGATGAATGGCCAAAGATCCAGGGCTCCCTTCACCTGCATACAGGTTGGCCTGGTACTTATTCTCCACTGCCCAGGTTTGCCTTCCTGTCAAATCAGAGGAAAAAGTCACCCTCCAGGTATACATTCCAATTGAGAAGACCCTAACGAAATCCCACTAGTGCCTCATCACCTACAACTGGCTCTATTCCAGGTGAAGTGGCAGGCTGCTTACTTGTGCTTATCTCCTTCCTACCTCCTCACATACACCATTAAGCTAATAATAAAGCACTAATTAAATTATAAAATGCCATAGTGTAGAAAATAGGATGAGGGTCATCCATGGATAAGGGTTTTCAAGAAATTTGAAGAAGACAAGAGGAAGATAGTGGAATGATGACTGAGAAGTGGAGAAGGGGAAGCGACAGCCTAGAATAAAAATGCAGTAAGAATAAAAACGCTGGAGTTAATAGGGAGCAGGTCTGCAAAGCAGAACTCAGCAGGGGTTCAGGATTTGAACATCAGGTACCATGGAAAGTAATGACAAATGGTGCTAAAACTGCACTTACGATGGGCCCCACCTTCCCCACCTTCCAGCCTTTGCCTGGGAGAAGATCTTGGAGCCAAACCAATAAAGAGAGGCTCCCTCTTAAAGACCGTGACCCTTGTGAAAACACAACGATCAGTAGAAGGGAAAGCCCTTTGAATGCTCTTGGTGCTGTATTAATTGCAGGCAAAATAGAGAGAAGTTCCTAATCACCAAAAAATGAGAGTGATGTGCCAGGGTCTTCACCCACGCTGATGGTCCCACTGTAAGGAAACCAGATCAGCCCTGCCCTGACCACCTACGCTGCTGACACAGGGGCTGCCCTGTGCACGGCACAGGCAGGGAGACACCATCATTGGCAGTGGGACCTCATCCCAAAAGACACCCCTGGGCACCATATTCCAAACCAGCAGACACGTCCAACCAGCCCAGAGGTTCTACACCAACTAACCCCACTATCTCCTGCCCCTCAGCCTCACTTGGAAACTCTGCTTTGCTCTGACAGGATAGTCTGCCATTTGGGGGCTTTAAAAGCCTTACCTGTTTTCTTCTCCAGAGCATACCGAATTCTGCGCTGGAGCAGGTTCTCTGCTTGGACATAAAACTCTTGTGTTCTATCTTTGGTCTCTTAATAATTTCCTGTTATAACATATCTAAAGCCTTGAGAACCCTGGGCTGTGGTAGATGATTAAGCTTCCATTTAATTCTCCAAGTGAAAGACATGATATAAATTATGGGTGCTTCTTCTCAAGAGAAGACACTGTGTCTGAAGCCTTCCATCGTCAGAGTTTGTTGAACAGGATCTTATCAGGTGTTAGAGCAGCATGGGCTTGCGTTTTAATAGAATAGAACCTTTTTCCAACAAACACCTATATGGAAGCCCAATGCACAGAACTTATTAATAAGCTGCTGCCAGGACAGAGCAGGGGAGGGGAACCAAGGCCCCATCTGCTCACCTCAGCTTCTCTTTCCCTCCTTGCGACCCATGTAACTTCCTAAAATGACAATTCCAGGGAGAGCAGTTAGCAACCTCAACTCGGAAAAACTGAAAAGGAAATTAAGTAGATGAAACAAGGTAAATATTGTACTTGATAAACTACAAAACATGAGCAGTCATCCTTACCTGCATGCTTGCAAATAGCGACCGAGAAAATCTTAAGTAGACTCAACCAGGCAGAACTCAGCAACCATCTTCATCATCATCACCATCCTCCTCCTCCTCACCTACATTTAATGAGAGTTCACCATGAACCAGGGCTAAGTGATTGACATATATTCTACCATTCAATGCAAATAATAAAACCAAGCAGCCAGTATTGCCATAGAACTTGACCAAGGTCTCCTAGCTACTGGGGAGCCGGGACCAAGATGGAAGCCCAGGTCTGCGGGATGCTCTCCTTGTACGCTCTGAGCCACTGCGTTCCCCTGGTCCCCACAATAGCTATGTGTATCCTTCTTTATATTTTTTTCTGTGTTTTCTTAATTTTTTTACTTGTGTTAACCACTTTCAGAATAATATTTTTTAATTTGACACTAAAAAAGGACAGGGATTGTGGGGAGAGCTGGCTCTTTAAATCAAGAAGTGGGCAAGGCAGGGATGCCCTAAGTGGCTCATCTAGCCTGGAGCCACCATAGAGGTGACCCTAAATGTCACAAAAGAAGGGCTCAGAGGACGTTCCTCACCCCAAGAGGCCTCAGCGCTCCTTCACCGGGCAGGTCCTCCCATCTTTCTTCAGCTTCTTCCCTTCCTACTCATCAGAAACATTAAAAAAGCTCATTAGTCTTGATAAAATCAAGCTTGCCATATAACTATTCTGAGAAGAAGGGTAAGGGAAGGGGCGTATAAAAGAACTAAAATTTCTAATTAACTAAAACAGACCACGTCTAAAATCAAGGAGTTAATGGACAGTAGTATATGCACATGATTTAGGAAAGTGAAGGAAAATATTGGCAGAAACAGATGAAGTAATTTTAAGTTGTTCTCTGGGGAAGTAATAATGGGGGAGGCCAAAGAGCTGGGGCATAAGAGGTTGCTGAATTTTTATAAGCATTTTAGTGCCATTTGGCTTTTCAAATCAAGTGCCAGGATTTGTCTGATTCGTAAAAAAATGCTGAAACAAAATGATAAAACCTACCCTCCTTAAATGATCTCCTTTAGCTTAATGGACTCCAAGAAGGAGTTCAGACAGAATGTGGTTTGATGTGGCTATGGAGCCATGGAATCTGAGACACAGCAGACAGGAGGTACCTGGTGTTGTGGGAAGAGCAGTGGATTTTGAATCAGAAGACCCTGGTTTCAGTCTTGGCCTTGGTGCTCCAAGTTCTGTGGCCTGGAGCAAGGTGCATAATCTGAGCCCCTCTACTCCATAAAGGGCAGGTATTCAGATCCCAAATACCCAAAAAGAGGATTAAATGATGTATTGGGTTGTTGGAAAATTCATGACGCATTTTTGCAATGAGAAACAGAAAAAATACGTCATGACTTTTCCAACAACCCAATACATCCCAACCCACTAATGCAAACTAACCTCATGATGAGGATACAAGGGGTGGGAACCCAGTCTCAGCCAGCTAGGTGAGAGCTGTGGAAAGACTGAGCCCTGGATAAGAGATGCAGGTTTCTCACCCATGAGCCAGGCATTGAGCCTAAGCCTGAGTTTCCAAACTTGAGCTGAAATTTTCTCTTCCCTCTGCCATGTTCTCAAGTTCTCTGAAACCATGGAATATATTTTACGTTTTGTGGACGCAAGACAAGTGGTATCAAAGGTGTCCATCTGTATCCCTCTGTGAGAGGCTCACCCAGACCATGCGCTCATCTGACCCCAGCGTGGGCCCTCTCAAACCAAGTCCTTCCTTGATTCTTCCCAATTTCCAATAATCTCCAAATTACTTACAATCAAACTAGATGAAACCTTAGACCCAAAAGAGAAACCTCCAGCCCTTTCTCCAGGGCAGGGTCCAGTTCACCATTATGTTAAGCTTTGTCACAGGTCTGGTCCCAGTTATCATTTTAGGACAAGGCAGTCCAGCCTTCCCAGGAACCAGCCCAGCATGGGGTTATTTTTTCCAGGCACTGAGCATTTAGAACTCACAGCCCAGAAACAAGCTGCCAAATGCCTGGTTGCCAGGGTTCTTTTTCCCCCTCCTCTCTGGAATCACAGCCTGCACTGGTTTAAGGGTGGGAGAGGTCTGGCAGATCCATGCTCCCATGGGACTGCTATCTCCTGTAAATAGAAAGACCCATGCCCCATCAGACAGCACTGTTCTTGCTGGTAAGTCATGATGTGAAGAGATAGAGAGATGCCTTGTAAGGCAGCCCTAGGCAGAAAGAACCCAAAACAGGACTCAAGATTGGGCACAAGACACACTGACCAGGACTGGGATGCAATGGGGGCTTTAATCTTAAGTCTCCCCAAAGGTCCCAAGAAATACAGCCTGCTCTCTGCACAGACAGTGTGTGGGGATGAACACACAGACCTGCAGGTTCAAATCCCCCCAAAATAAAGTTGACTCTTTGGCACTTCATACTTGGCAAGAGCTAATCATAAAGTCAGTTGATAGAATAATTAAATTAATAAAATGCATCTGTTTCAGAGAAAACCTCAGAGGGACCAGTTTTGATTCCATGGGCCCCAAGGTAAAGGACCCAAAAGGAGAAGACAGCAGAGGGAGGGTTAAGGGGAGTAATTAGCCAGTGACCAAATGTCATTTGCCTTGAGTCGAGTGATTCTCACTTTATTCAAGTGTCCTAGAAATTATGAAAATTTTTTTTTCATTTTGGGGAATTCATTTTTGTCCAATGAATAACTATCAATCATCCGCTTTTAAAAGTATTGTGCAATTTCTAAATAATATTTTTTAAATCAGGCTGACACTGCCAATTGCTGCTGGTTGGGGTTCTCTGAATCACGTACAGAAGGAGGGCTGTTCTGCCGAGAGCCTGTCTGGGAAATCGGCTTATATATCCTGTGCCCCGAAGCATCTATTTCTTTAAAAATGTAGCCAGGGGGCTCAGGGTAAGAAGCCAGGCACCTCGCCATCTCCTTGGGAGTAAAGCTGACAGCGTATGTGGTCTGGCTCTCCACAGGGATATTTCCTCGGGGGCCAGACCAGGAGGGCTTACAGCTTTTGGTACTGATGGGTGGGTGGGGCACATAGTGGGCCCGCATGGTGGTCAAGCAGTCCAAGGGCTCGGGGGGAAGGTTCAGCTGATGAATGGGCTTGACTGGCTCCATGCGCATGCTGGCCCGCTGCTTGTAGTCGTCCTTGGTGGTAGTGGAACTTTCGAAGTGACCGCCCTTCTTGACACAGAGCACAGGTCGACAGGACTGAGCTGGGGCACCCTTAGGGTATGTGTAATGGGCCTGCACGGTTGTCAGAAAGTCCATCTTTTCTTCAGGAGGGACATAGGGGACAGGAGCTTTGGAGAACATCTGGGGCGTTGGCCAAGCTTGGTACTTATCTCGAAACTCAGTGGTGTTAGAGAAAGGTGTGTCTAGCCCACAGGGCCCAGCTGGAGGTTTCAAGCTCTTGGCTGGCTCCCCCATCAGACCTCTGTAGGACTGTTTGTGGGTGGTGAGGCTGTCAAAGGGGATTTCACAGGGTCTAAACTTCGCCATCTCATGCACAAAGCGCTTCTCCAAAGGGTGGGCCACGTAGCTCATCTTGTAGTTGGTCAGATCCTCCAGGGGGATGTTATAGAGCTTGGGCCTGGCCGGAGGCTTACAGCTCATGGTGTTCACTAGGCCCTTCAAGGAGTAATCATCCTGGTGTGTGGTTGTGCTATCAAACCTGGTTGATGCTGGCCGGTAGTTGCGTTCCGGACGAAGTAACTCTCGTTTTGGTTGGTTCCAGGGTAAATAATCAGCTGAAAATAAAGCAGAAGTGGTCATTACTCATAAATCAATTCATTCAACCCACATGTATTCCACGGGGCCTCCAAAGCCATAAGCCACTCTCTAGCGGGATGTTCCTTGAGACAAAGGAAGAACAGAGTGGATCCCTTGCCGCCACTTCAACCAAGGGCTTGATGTTCCACCTTTATGGTATTTGAAAGTTACTGTGAAGAAGAGACAAATATATAGAAGTCTCAACACACCCTACATTGCTGCACAAAGGAATTTTAGAGGGTCTGCAGCCATGGGAAGATCCAAGAAATCAATTCCAGCAGAGTTACCCAACCACTGGCTCGCCCTAATCCAGGGCAGTTCCAGTCCTCTATGGGGAAGGAACCCTCTCTGGATCAACAGAGTGGCTGGGAAGATGCATGTGGTGTTGTGAGATGGGATTCACAGCCCATCACTAGTGGACTGCTAGCCAGACCCACCAGGCCTCCCTAGTGTCAATGGGGTAACTACTGCATACCTATAACCCACATATCTAATTCCCATAAATCAAATATGCTGCTCCAAGGGAATAAGGGCATTGTATTGGATGGTGAGCGAATAATAGCAGCAGCCTCTTGTATACGACTTATTATGTGATAGGCAGTACTTTCTATGTTAACTTTTTAAATCTTCAGGCAGCCTTAATGAGGTGGGTACCATCAATATGCCCATTTTACAGATGCAGAAACAGAGGCACAGAAAAATTAAGGAAATTGCTCAAGGTCACGTGGCTAGAAGTAGAAAGCTTGGATGCAAATTCAGATCCAGAATCCATGCTGTGACCCACTCCGCTATCATTCTGACAGTTAAGGAATGCTGACTATGTCCTAGCCAACTGAGCTCACGGCTTTCCATACCTAATTTTTTTCATCTTCACAATAACCCTTTGTAATAGGTATGGCTATCTCCATTTTACAGATTTCCAAAAGCAAAGCTCAGAGAGACTAAGATACTTGCCCAAAAGTCACATTGTTTGGAAGTTAAAAGTAGGAATTTAAACCACATAGTTGACTCCAAAACTATGCTCTTCGGACAGCCTATATCACAGTTAGGAGTGCTGTATTTCTAGATAGAGTGAAGGTTAAAGAAAAAAAAAAGACTGCTAATAAATAATCAGGGAAGATTTGCGGGAGGAGAAGAATTTCAAAATGTTTAAACAATGAAAGGATTGGCAGCTATATCTAGCAGATGTCTGTCTAAGAGGAACCTCTGCTGTGGGACTGGAACAGCCAAGATAACAGGTCTGCACCAACGGAAATCTTCCCTAGAGAGGGTCCCCATGCATCTTGAGGAGCAGGTGTTATCCTCAGACAGCACTACAGGGGCTTTTAAAGTAACTTCAACACACAAGGCAGCTTTGAAATTGGAAAGCCAGGTGAAAAAAGTGGGACAGAAAACAATACCATTCAAACACCTCCACACTGTTGCCATTCTTTCCATAATACTGGCTCAAATCCACGTCCTACATTGCCTCCATTGAGCCCATCGATAACCATATCTAAAGTAGCCAATATGGGACTTCTGGTCAAGATGGTGCAGTAGATAAACACTCACTATGCTCACTGCCTCCCACAGCCAATCAAAATTACAAATAAATTATAGAACCATCATTGAGATCTACCTGAAGACTAGCTGAGCAGAAGTCCTATAACTCAGGATATAAAGAAACCATAAGGAGACTGGTAGGAGGGTTGGAGACATGGAATGGGCTGGTCCTACACCCATATGTGGTGGTAAAGAAACAGGAGTGATATCTCTGTCGTGAAGTTCCCCCCTTAGGAGTGAGGGGTCCCAACCCCACACCAGGCTGCCCAGCCTGAGGCTCCAGTGCCAGGGAGGGAAGTTCCCATAACATCTAGCTGTGAAAAGCAGCAGTGATTATATCCGAGTAAGATACAGGGCTGCTGGAGTCCTAGGCATTCCTGTTGAGGGACCTGAGCACAGAAATCACTGGATCACAAACATACACTCTTGGCTCCAGCTCAGGGGCAGCAGCGTGAAAAGTGCCAGGGACCTTCAGGGAAGAACTGAATTGCCTAGGGCAAGGGCTGGAATGGCAGGGGTTGGGACAGCTGTCTCCAGGGACAGAAGTGCTTGAAAGCACTATTGTTCCTTTGTTGAGTACTCCTCCCACCCAGCTGGCAGGTGCAGGAGGGTGCCAAATCTGAGATCTCTATCAGCCTGGCTAACACCATTCACCCCACCCTGACAATTCCTTGGGACCCCACCCCACTCATGTGCCTGGCTAAACCTTTTCCAGAGGCTTTTCCACATAAGTGGCCTGCCTTGGCTCGTGCTTCACACTTTTCTAAAGTCTCTCAAAGGTGCAAAACCCCAAAAAAGCAGATTACCTCAGTGTGCCCTGTAAATTTTCCAAGCCCAGCATAAGTGGCAATCAGTCTCAACCTGCACTGTAACTTCGATCAGGTAGTCCCAAGTCTGACATAAGCTGCAGCCAGTGTTGGCTTGGAACATAGCTTCAACTAAGTGTCCAAAAGTCTGGCACAAGCGGCAGCTGGTCTCAGCTCACACTGTGGTGCCCACCAAAGGGTCCCAAGCCAGGCACTAGTGGAAGCAGGCCTCAGTTCACAGCAAAACCTCTCACACGTGCCTCCAAGCCCAGCCCAAGCAGCACCCAACCACAGATCACTTTGTAGCTCCCATCAGGGGACACCAAGCCATACACAAATGGCAGCTGAACTTGCCCTGCACCAGAGCCCCTCTCAAGAGGCTCCAGGACCAACACAGCCAGTGGCTGGCTTCAGACCATGCCAGAGCACCACCCAACCTGCTTCACAACCGACACACCCAAAGGGCAGACTAGCCTGGTACTAGAGCCCCACTAAAGTGACCTCCACTCCCTGGAATCAGCCCCTGCACAACAGCTCCTCCACTGTACTCACAACCAGCCCTCACAGCCAGTCAGCTTGAGGGTCAATTCCACTCATTGACATGCCTACAGCAATCAAGGCTCAACTCCAACAGAAGGGCACACACAACCCACACAAGGGACACCCCTAGAACACCCATCTCAGGTGAACAGGGAGAATGCTACTACATAAGGTGACTCTGCCAAGATAGAGAGGTGTAGCAGCTCTACCTGATACATAGAAACAAACACAGGGAGGCAGCCAAAATAAGGAAGCAAAGAAACATGTCCCAAATGAAAGGACATGACAAAACTCCATAAACAGGACTAAGTGAAATGGAGACAAGCAATCTAGTAGATTCAGAGTTCGAAATACTGATTATAAGGATGTTCAATCAACCTAAGGAAAAAATAGATAAACTTAGCGAGAAATTCAACAAAGAGATAGAAACCATAAAAAAGAAACAAAAATGAAGAATACAATGACTGAAATAAAGAATAGACTACAGGGCATCAACAGCAGATTAGATTAAGCACAGGAAAGAGACACAAAGAGGGAGTTGTTTTTGCTGTTTGTTTAGTGACATGCCTGCACTAATTCTATGAAATCTTATCTCCCCTGCAGTGTGTGGCCACTGATATTTTTGGTCAGTTTGGTTTTTTTATTATTATTATTAAGCTGAGATTCCTAAGAGTCACCCTGTATCAGCATAGTTGAGTAATCAGCCAATGACTGATCAGAAGTTATGCTTAAGCACCTTAAACCAGTAAGGCTTTTACCCTTTGTTAATGGATCTATGCGTGTGTTAGGTAATAGTCAAAGATCAGGCACTTTACAAGTCTGTCCTAGTTTTTATTTTCTGTTGGGCTTTCTCTTGTCTCCTCTGCACCTGCACTAGGCATGATAGATACTTAGCCAAGGAAGATGGACAGATAACTAGGCCTGTCTCTGATCTCTCTTCAGCCTGTACACTGCCCTTGCCCACATGCACAGTCTTCCAGATCACCAGAAATATGTATGAGCTTATCAAGACCCACTATGTCTTCCTTATTTTCTGGATCTCCTTGTTAAATTTCTGACCAGTCTGCTGCTTGCCCCAATGAGTACCTCAGACTAGCTGCAGAAGTTGTCTTCCCTGATTTTTTTGCCACTGAGATTGTTGTTGGTTTTATTGAAACCCCTAGGTCTGCACTCTACTCCAAATCAAGTCAGCCCCTCTGGCAGCAGAGCCGCTGGTTTTCACAGCCTAACCTGCCCAGATGGAACTGGGGATGGGGGCGGGGTGGGGGGCAGGGGGTTCTGAAGCTCAGCGCCCATCCTAGACTTGGGGAGCAGAGCACCGGGCTGGGACTCCAGGGACTCAGCCCTTGNCAGGGGGGAGGGAGAGTGATGGAAGCCCTAGGATAAAACACCACAAACTCCCACTATTCGTAACCATGGTTTAGTAGTTTGTCTTCAATAAATGCTTCTCAATTTGTGTATGCTTTTCATTTCCTGAACCTTAAAAGGGTTGATTTCTACTGCTTTGTCCGGCTTTGTTGTTGCTTTTCAGGCAGAGGATTTGCCAAGCTCCTCACGCCACCATTCTGGAAGTCCTGACATCCCCACCCCTCCCCCCCAGGCACACTCAAGTTTATTTTAGGTTAATAATACTACCAACTATTTATTTTAAATTGGCTTCATTTTAATTGAAAAATCTAATCTTTCTCCAAGAGCCATTAATGGCTCTATCAGCATCTTGAAAGCATTAGGGGGCCTGAGAGGGAACCATCTTGCTGAATATAAACCACATGTTTCCCCGTCAGACTTCAGGCCTCACTGAAATGGGGGCATCTACCTGTAGGTGCCTACACACTGCCTCAAGGTTCGTGGGGGTGGGTAGGGCAGGGCTTTTCTGGCCCTCTTCTGTGATGGATGAAGTGTTAGGAAAACAGGTTCCTAAGCTGAAAGTTGCCTCATGTGATTGCTGGTACCCAACAATACAGTTGAAACCACATTATTATCCAAACTCCTAACTTCCTCCACCCAGCATATATTACAAAAACCCTCCACAAGACCCTGAAAACCTCAGAATTCCACATGACAAACTATTCATAAGCATGAAAAGCCATCAGTAGAGCCCGTCAAGGCCAGGGTGTCATGTGGGTAATTGGCAAGAACCTCTTTAAAAGGGATTCCATTCAATAACATGTCTTTTTTTAAAAACTTAGCTAAACCTAAAGCTGAGCATCAAGTAATTACACTCTCAATCTTTCCAATTGCACAGTGTTTTGGAAATGTCAAAATTACAACCAAATGCTGCTGGAGCATATTTTACTGGTGGTTTCCTGGACCCTAGTTGAGGTGCTGGCCATAAGAGTAGAAAGGGGAAAGCTTGCATATTTTTCCTGTAGAACCATAGTAAGTGTAGCATGTAGACATAATCTGGATGGCACCCTTTGAAATACACATATTTAATGAGCTTCGTCTTTGTTGTTGTTTTTCTTTTCCTTTGGAAGGAGAATCGATTTAGGGCCATAAAGCCATGACAGTTGCTGTGGAGAAGACGTACTTACTCAGCAAATTTCCACAAGAAACAAATAAGTGATTGAAAGGTGATACTCCCAGAGAGAAGGCATGAGGTTCTGCCGGACTGACCTAGCGGCAGAATAAATGTCGTGGGTCTTCCCCAAGCTTCACGCCTGCTCTCAGCCAGTACCCGGAACAACAGGGGATTTGTGCAAATCTAATACCAAGCTGTGTCACCTAGAGTCCTTGTAAACAATGGTCCAGGCCATTCATTTATATATTTCCTCATTAAACACACCTTTGTCATGTCATCTCCTGTGCGGGAGCATTCAAGGCCCAGCTTTAGACGCCATTATATACATCACAGGATATATTTGTAATGGAACAAATAAACCATTTAAATCAATAGAATATGGTAAGTATACATTATTCCAAAAAACTGTGAAGGCACATAGACTGCAAACTGGCACCTATAGATCAAATCTAACTACAAATATGTAGTTACATACTGATTTGTATGACTTTAAATCTGAATTTCAGAGAACTGTAAAATTCAACCCCAAGTACACATGAAGCCAGAACAGACCCCCTCCCCCCATCTAACCATGCCTGGCTCTGAGCTGTCCTATTGACACTTGACTTGTATTTGTTCAATGGTTCTGAATAAATAGGTAAGCAGTGAACAAGTGCCAGAATTTGAAGAAAAATGCAAAGAAAATAGGGTTTTTCTCCATTTTAACTTTATCAGTAGGAAAAAGTCAGCCATGATTCCATTTTAGCAGGGGAATATTATCCTCTGGTTTGCAGAGGGCAATTTTAAATGTACCTGTCTAGAGAAGAGGAAGGTTATGGCAGAGCTAGAGGTGTGAGAGACTAAAGCATAAGTAGTTGATTGTTTTTTTCTGTGTGTTTATTTTGAGGAGTAAGTATTCTGTGGAGAGGAATAGGGAGGACTTTTGTTTAAATAATGACATTGGACTACTACATCCTTGCCAACCACTAAGGTAAGCAAAGAGTATTTCTCTCTCCCAGACCTCTCCTTGCACCTAGGGTAAGGTAGAGAAGGGAACTGAGCTGAACATGGAGTTGCTCTGAAGAGCCTAGGTTCTTAAATCCAGGAGGCCCTTAGGGAGGGCGTGGAGAAAAGGAGAGTTTGTAGCTGGAAGTGTCTACCTCCTCCCCCACAGAGGTGAGGGCTCACTCCAGCTTTGTGCCTCTTCCTGCTGCTCAGTGTCCATGCTGCCCCATTTCTTGCCTCCCTGTAAACACTGGATGAAAAGAGAGATCGAGCCCTTTGGAAGCAAGAGTGCCTCCCCCCATGTACCTGGTTGTACTGATTCCTTTGTAAAGCATCTACTACAGTGCCTGCCTTGTTGGGGGTAACCGGCAAAGAGAAAGAGAGATCCCTGCCTTCTTGGACCTTACAGTCTGACCAAGGAGATAAATGTTAAGCAAAACAAAAGAAAATGACACAATGAATTACAAAACGGGAGTACAAGGCACTCTTAGATCATCTAACAGGGTATGTCTAGTCAGGCATGGGGGAAGGTTAGGCAAGGCCTCAAAGGATGTGCTATTTTGGCTCGCTGAAGGATGAGGGCTAGACAGGGGAAGGGAGGAAGACTACAAAGATGGACTAGCAAGTACAACATGCCCTGAGACAGAAAAGGAATGAAGGAAAGGAACAGAAAGAAGGTCCTATGGGAGAACAGAGGGGCACTAGGAGGAGCCAACAGAATCTGCAAAGCATCCGAGGAGCTGGTGAAGGTTTGGGATTTGATCCTAACAACCATAATAATTATTAAGGAGTTTTAAGCAGAGAAGAGGTCAAATCAGATTGCCATGTTTTAAAGGCCTCCTGGTTCCTTTCTGTGGAAAATGGATGAGAGCTGACAAGACCGGAAATATGCTCAGGTATATGCCCAGGTGTACACATGGAAGAGGCAGCAAAAGGACAGAGAGGGAGAGAGTTTTAAAAAGATAGGCTGCAAAGGTCTATCAGGTAATAGGCCACATGGGGGACAGACACAGGAGGGGCTGATGGTGACAAAGAAGGTTGAGGCATCAGGGGTTGGAGGTCCTAATGAGGCCAAAGACTGTCATGGTGAGAATGGGTAAGAGAGCCAGCAGAAGGACTGGATGTTGGGGTGCACAAAGAGGGAAGCATGTCAGGGCATCACAGCATCCAGGATGTGGCTTGGCAGAAGGAGGCTATGGAAATGAAAAGAGGAGACAACACTAATGATAAGAAGGCAGAAGAACAAACAGAGACCAGAGTGCTGAAGAGGCCCACATCAGGCTGTCCCCGAGTCCCAGCTCCCAGAAGCAGAGAAGCTCAGCCACATGCAGAATCTTCCAGAATGACAGATTTAGAGCTCCTGGAAGCATTCAGGAAGATTGCTACATCTCCCAAGCCTCCCCAGAAGAGTTGCTGATAAAACTGGCTGCCATTCCCATCATCTCAACCTGAGGCCTGTGCGCCATAGAGTGACTGCCACATGGCTTGCCCACACGTAACTCCACGTACTGTCTCTCCTTCTAGACCAGCAGTTCTCAACCTGTGGGTGGCGACCCCTTTGGGGGTCGAACGACCCTTTCACAGGGGTCACCTAATACCATCAGAAAACAAAAAGATATTTACATTACGATTCATAACAGTAGCAAAATTACAGTTATAGGGTAGCAACGAAAATAATTTTATGGTTGGGGGTCACCACAACATGAGGAACTGTATTAAGGGGTCATGGCATTAGGAAGGTTGAGAACCGCTGTTCTAGACTATAAAGCCTCCACAGGTCACTACACTTCCTTCAGTTCCTAATGCTTGGGATGTAGTAGGTGTTCAATAAAGAATAAATCAATCCCATGTATATAAAGTTCAAAGCTAGCAAAACTAAATTATGATATTAAGTCAGCATAATGTTTCTATCCTGGGTGGGGAGGGTGACTGAATGGGAGTATATTTCTTGATCTGGGTGCTGTTTACATGGATGTGGTTAGTCAAAATTCACTGGTCTGTATAGTTACGATTTCAGCATTTTTCTGTCTGCATGTTGTTTCCATAATTTTTTAATGGAAGAATGAATCACTCACTCAATTGAAATGCTTCTGCAATGTAGGATTTCAACAGCAAGCTAAGGTAGGCATTGGCAAATATTCTATAAGAGGGAAGATATTAAGATATGTCATAGGCCTTGCAAGCCATACTGTCTATGTCACAACTATTCAGCTTTGCCACTGTAGTACAAAAGTAGCCACAGATAATGCATAAGTGAACAAGTGTGTCTCTGTTCCAACAAAACATACTTATGAATAGGGAACTTCGAATTTTACATCATTTTCTCATGTCCCAAAACAGTCTTTTGATTTTTTTTTTTTTTTTAGTCATTCAAAATTTAGAAACCATGCTTAGTTATCCAGGTGTACAAAAAAGGGCTGCAGGCCCGATTGGCTCTCAGGAAGTAGTTTGCCCGACCCCTGCACTAAGGGGGATGCATCGTCTAACACATCTCCTGGCCTACGTACAGATTCAGCCCACCCTCCCATCAGTCTGCCCCTCAAGCACTCTCCCACCTTTATAAGTAGGCAGACACTCCATCTGGTCACCACATGGATGTTTACTGTCCCGTGGTTTGATGGGGTCCACTCGACAGACAGAATAGGGGTTGTAATCTTGCTTATACGTTGTGAGCAGGTCCATATTCTCTTCACTTGGGACGAATTGGTCAGGCTGGTAGCTCTTCACTGGTAACACTTTGTGAAGCCTAAAGTCTTTCCTGTAAAGAAAATAAGCACATGCCCCTGGGGCCCTTGGCTCGGAAGAAGGCTCATGGTTTCTATTCAACCCAATTCTACAAATGTTTGCTAAGAAGTCATCTGCTACTCTGTCCCCCTAACTGCTCTTCCTCCTCTGTTTCCCACTTTTGAGAAAGACACCGCCATTCCTTTCTCACCCAAGCCAGGCAGCTGGATGCCATCCTGGAGCCATGCCCTCACAGCTCTAGACGATCGTTCACCAAATAAGGCCCGCCGCACCCCATCAGTCTGCCTTTCTCTCCTGGTTCAGACCCTGACCGTTTCTCACTTGGATCATGGGACAACTTACCACCCGGGCTTCCTGCTACATTCCTGCCATTTCTACTTCAATCCCCTTAGTGTAGCCAGAATAAGCCCTCTAAAATGAAAATTGGATCATTTCACTCCCCAGCTTAAAACTCTTCCAGATAAAGCCCAAGTTTCTAGCATGGTTTATAAGCTCATGGACCTGCCCCTGCCTCACTCCCCAACCACATCTCCAGCTTCCCTCCCGGCCCACAATCCACTCCAACCGCACTGGGCCACTGAGAAGGTCTCTCCTCTGGGCCTGCTCTCTGCCATCCTTCCCTCCAACCCATTCACTGTGGAGCTAACTTCTATTTTTCAGGTACCGCCACCTTCTTCTCTGTGCTCCCAAAAGCACCTCCTGCTAATATTTATCTCCTTGCTCTACTTGACCTTATAGATAACCCAGAATGGCAGAACAATGCAATAAATAGAGATGGAGGCTTTCGTTTCTTTGCTGTCTGGCATCAGCGACCCCCTTATTTCAGGGAGTATAAAAACAATGGGATACAGTGCTCGCTTTGGCAGCACATACACTAAAATTGGAACGATACAGAGAAGATTAGCATGGCCCCTGCACAAGAAAAGAAAAAAAAGAAAAAAAATACAATGGGATACAAAATGCATGATGGTCTTCACTACCCCGGAAGCACTCCCTTCCCAAAGCGTCCCACAATACAGAAAGGCCGCAAAGCTAACTGCATCACCCGGCATCACCCTGGCAACACCTGGGCTTGGCGTGGGCTTGCAGTGCCCACCAGGGCAGTCTCGACTTCCCATTTCTCAATGCGAACTCTCTTAAGCAAACATTTCTCCCCAAGGGCTTCTGCTTTACACAACAGCCTGTTTTTGCCTTGAACCCATTTATTAAACTAGACAAGGGGAAGGCAGATTTTCCCTGATGGTGCTTGCCAAAACAGCCTCGCCGAGGGAAGGGGGAGGTTTCCGGACAGGAAAACATCAGGCCCAAACACCAATAAAACCTACTTCCCGGCCGAAATCTGGAGCAGCATTACTGAGCCATGCTTGACTAGCAAAGGTAACACGCTCCACTGTAACCTGTCTTGCATGAATTATACACATGGTTGTCAATAAACCCAAACCAGGGCCTGAAAACGCTTGATAGGTTGGGAGGAGGGAGTTAGGAAGCAGGAGAATTAGTCTCTCCAGGGCTCTAAGGAGGAAATGGGAGATGCTTCAGTTGAACTCCCAGTAACACCTTCTGGGTATTTTTTTTTTAATATATCTCGTTACAGGGTCTTCAGCCTGGGCTGCCTTCCCAAGGGTCCCATGTTGGCAAACAGCAAGAGGAAGCTGAGTGGCCTGAGGCCTCTGGAAGCCAAAACGTATAAATCGGAGCTTATGGAGGAAGTAGGCTACACGAGAACCCAAGGGTCACTTCTACGCTTCCACCCTTCTTAGCGGACCTCATGCCAGGGTCTGCTTAATCCTAAACCAACTGAAGCAGGAAGTGAGGAGTGGAGGCCCTAGGCAGCAGAGAGGGATGGAAATTTCCAGAAAACCCTGTCTGAAACCGATCAACTTTTGTCAGAAAGTTTGTGTTCTCAGGGGGTGCTGCCAAGGGAAGAGGAGCTCTCATTACTCCCAAAGAGGGCAAGGGATAAGGAACAAAGCTGAACCCCACCTCACCCTCTCAATCCCAGAGCAGCCAGGAATGCTTTCCAGTCACAGGCCTGTCATGCTCTGGGACCCTGCACACAGGCCATGACATCCTCTTCTCCTACTGAGGGAACCAACTTCCTCTCAAGATACTGTGCGAACCTTCCTTCAGAGGCTGCCGAGCTCTCTGACAACCAACGTGTGCTTTTAACGCCCCTATCTCCTGTGGTTTCTACAGGAAAATAGCAGATAAATGCCCACAACCAAGCTCACCAGGTCATGGACTACCCTGAAGCTGGTTACTCAAAGACAAAGGCTGATGCAGCCAAATCCTCACTCACCATGCTTAGGGAAAGAAATTGTTAACTGAATCTCCTTCTCAAGTACAAAAATTGAAGTTTCTTTGTAAAAGTACATCTGTCATTGAATATACTAATCAGCCATAACTAGGGGAAACGATCTTGCGGGGGAATGATCTATTTCTGAAGAAAAATTTAATTCATGTATACTCTCCCCACCCCATCCAAAAATATGTACTGTGGCTTAAGGTTGAATTTAATCAAAATTTATGTGTTTTCTCATTATGTTTTTATGTTGAGAACATTCACGGAAACCTATCATTAACCACAACATAACTGCATGTCCCCAATCTCACATAATCTTACGGCCTTTAAGTTCATGTAAAAGAAAAGTCTATTTTATCCTTCCCAGAAATTGTTCAAATTTAGTAGTTTTTATTTCAAGAACACTCCCCTCTCTTCCTGAGTTACATTTCCTAGTCCCTGTGCCCATTGTGACTATGAACCAAGAAAAAAATTGGTCAAAGATGTTAAATTTCTTTTAGGTACATAGCCATAAAAGTTATATAGTATGAAAGGCCAAGAGTTAAACTCCGAGTTAAGTAAAGGTTAAAGTGGCCCTGCTGGGAAAGTAATAACAACTTGACTTCCAATCATTATGCAAAGTTAAAGAAAGGTGTTTGACAAAAGCCTGACAAAAGGAAAGAAGAAATAACATAACAGCCAATGAGCTTTGGGAGCCTGGAAGTAAGACATAAAGATTTTCACAGCAATAAAGTGACCATTCAATCCTTTTTTAAAACCTAGTACTAATGTTTATCTATGAAAACTTCAGAATTTGTTAATGTGCCCAATTAATCAGTCACATTAAATGGAATCCATTTTAAAAAGAGTTCCTCCTCTTGCCCAAAACCAATCTTTTCACTCCTACCCTAAATCCCCTCCCTCTTCCTAGAGAAACTCATCTATGGACCATCTTCTGGGCTGTGGTTTAATCTTTTCCTCCTCCTGGCTCCTTTCTGTCAGTATTTAAACCTGCTCAACTTTCACAACTTTAAAGGCAAAAATCAATGTATGACCCAACCCTTACTGGAGTCCTCTCCCCTCCAGTCCGCTCTCCTCCCCCTCTCTCCTCTAGAAAGGGATGTCTACAGGTACATACTTGCCTTCCTCACTTCCCACTCATGCTCCACCCATCAAATCTGATTCTACTCCATCCTTGCTCCAGCCGAGGCCTGCAAAAGTACCACCTTGTTTCCAAACCCAGGCACTGCTCCGCCTGTACCATCCTAATAATATCCATTCTCTCACTCATTTTTTTAAATACTCTCTCCCTTGACTTCTGAGGTCCTCCTTATGATATGTCCTCTCTCTCAGTCTCCTCTATGGAATTTGGCCCTTTGTCCATGTATTGCATTTCATTACTTCCACACATAATTCTAAAATTTCGCTGGGGTAAAGGGCACCCTCTAAGGCAGCGGTTCTCAACCTTCCTAATGCCGCGACCCCTTAATACAGTTCCTCATGTTGTGGTAACTCCCAACCATAAAATTATTTTCATTGCTACTCTATAACTGTAATTTTGCTACTGTTATGAATCGTAATGTAAATATCTTTTTGTTTTCCGATGGTCTTAGGCGACCCCTGTGAAAGGGTCGTTTGACCCCCAAAGGGGTCGCCAGCCACAGGTTGAGAACCGCGGCTCTAAGGAAACCATTATGTCATCAGAGGCAGGTTAGGGAGCCCATCCCAGCACACTGAGAAAGATCCCTACGCTGATTCAAAGGGCTTGATTCATGTCCCTGATCCTGATGACAGACTGAGCCCTCCTCATCTTCACTGTGATAGACAGGATTCCAAATACCCGCTTCCATGATTTAAGTTACATAGTACCTATCTCCTGCTCTACTCTCTTCAACCCCCACTAAAGCTGAGACTAACACCTGTCACTGCTTCATATAAACTCAGGACAAAATATGAAAACAACTCCCTGTGAGCACTAGAGAGCAACCAAGATAGGCAGATTCTGGACGACAGCCAACAGGTAGAAGAAGGGAATGGCACTGGGTGGGTTTCTGTATAAGTCTCTGTTTTGTTCCAAAGCTTCCAGTCTGAAGGCAGGTTCCAGTCTGTGCTGGGTAAGGCAGCTAACATGTGACTAAAACACCGTCCATCTTTCTTGACTGAAGAACCAGAGGACCAAGTTTTGAGGCAACCACAGGTGTCAGAGGGTGAAGAGAGAATCCTGAAAAGGAGAGAGCCAGAGACAGGAGGCCTCAAGTTCTATATGTTCACTGGCCCCAAGTCTCAGGCTGACCTTACTTGCATGAGGCAGACATCAACCAACCATGCTAAAGGTAGACTTGCACTGAGATTTGAACTGCCCCCAAGACACAGAGTTTGCATTTTCAATCCAAACAAGTTATCTCCTATCTGCTTAAAAAAAAACCCCACTCTTCAGAGGAACGTAGAAAAATCCAGTCCACAATATAACATTAACAATGTACAGCATCAATCCAAACTTATTTGGGATACAGACACATGTGACACACTCAAGAAAAAAAAAAGGATAATCATAAAGACCAATCCAAGAAGACCCAGACGTTAGAATTAAAGCAGCTATTTTAACTACGCTCTATTACAAAACGCAAAATAAGGTCATAATGAGTTAAAAGAAAACCACAGAAGAGAAACAAAAACTAAATTAAAAGAACCAAATATACGTTCTAAAACTGAAAAATACAATATCTGAAATAAAATATTCACTGGATGAGCTTAATATCAGAATGGAGATGGAGGAAAGACTCAGTGAACTTGAAGATAGATGAATAGAAACGATCCAAACCAAAGAACAGAAAGAAAAAAGACCGTGGGCAAAACGTGAACAGAGACAGAAAAAAATAAATACTTGAAGAAATAATGGCCAAATTGTCCTCAAATTTAATCAAAGACACATAACATCAAAGGCTCTAAAATTGCTCAGGCAAGTCCAGTGCTGACACCTATTTCTGCCTGTCTTAACTCTCAGGCCCAATACACAGAGGGGAGTAAGTGTGACCCTGGGGTATAGCTCTGAGTAGAGAAGCCAAGGATATATTTGAACAGAAAGTGTATAAAATTCAACGGATAGAGAGACTCAAGTCTGTTACCAAATTTCTTGCTTTTTTCCTGGGTTTTGGACAGGATACCAAGTGCCCTTTCTCTGTTAGCTCTTCCCTCTCTGACGCTCAGGTTACCCAAAAGTCTTGTCAATAAATGAAGCAATCTGTGCTGCCAACTCCATGCCTCTCTGCCCTTCAGCCAAACCCATCAAGTCTGAACCTGATTCCATCTTCCCCCCGACATACGCCACCCCCAGTTCACTCTACCCATGGTCCCACTCCATTTAGAATAAAGGCCTTACACAGTCTTGGACTCACCTCTTTCCTCTGAGGCTATCCACGTTGCCCATCTTTTAACAGCTGGCTTTGCTAACAGAAATAATGTCACAAAATGGGACCCAAGTGTTTTGCAGGGTAATATGCCTAAGGGGAAATGAGGCTTGAAGTACAAACCTCTTATTCATAAATTGATCTCGGGGCTATCGGAACAAAAGGCAGATCCTATGCGAAAGAATTACCAAGGGCTGCAAAGAAACAGCTTCATACTAAGAAGGGCTGGAAATCACGAGCATGCCCCTCATGCCACCTGCTGTAAATCCCCAAGATTTACAGTCCGTAAGAGTTGTGTGCAGCTGTAATCATGCCTCATGCTGGGATGATAACCTTTCCAGAAACCAGGTGTTTTTTGTGTCTGGGCTTAATCACCAAACCCAGCCAAGCCCTGGGCCACATGACTTTATCGTGCAGCAGGTGGCAGCCCCATGGCCAATCTCAGAAACCAGCCAGGTCTATCTTCAGATAGGGAAGTGGGTGGAACATTCTGGAAAGAAGGGTTCTATGGGCAGAGGAGTGACAATCCATGCAGACACCAGGGTATTGTAGATACCCTGAAGCCTCTGATTGCCACACTCAGATGAAAGCGTCTCTACATTTCCTGATAGGGAATAATTGTGTACATATATATGGACCAGATTCTCTGCTGCATTTATAAGTTATAAGGTTCAGAAAGATGGTTGGTAAAATCTTGATTTCTATTAATTTATCTCAATAAAAGCTCATTGGACCTCCGAGGGAAAAAAACACCATCCTGATAGGGACATACTTTTGTTCCTGGTCTATAAACACTAGTGCCCAGCACAGTACTCACAGGGCTGAGAAATGGTGAAATTGAGGTACAGGGGAGAGAAAAGATGACCTTTGATTATTCCCCTTAGTTCTCTTCCTGGGGAAGAAAAAAAGGAGAGAAGTACCTCTGCTCTTTTTCCTTCCATGGGTAACCTTGATCCCACCACGTTTTCTTTCTAAAGCCCCTATGGTCATTAACAACTTGTTTTGGAAATTCTTTCAGTTTCTGCATTCCTCCACTTTGGCCACATCTTGACATGAATGATATTGTTACTCTGGCTCTGGCAGGGACAGAGAGACCTTCTGGGTGATATGTTTATTATTGTAAGTGACACGAGGCAAGAATAATTTAGGACAGGTCAGAGGGGAAGTTTTTGATTTGCAAAGCACCATCAGAAGGCGGGGGTAGAGGAGGCACGTGTGGAACTCCATCTGGGGGGCTCAGAGCCAGGTGATGGAACAGAGCTGCTGCCCCAGAGAGAGGGTTTATCCTCCTCCTAAGCTTGTGGGCAACAAACAAAAAGCATTCCTCAACATCCAACCCTCAAACATGCTTTTCTGTATTTCCAGGTCAGAAAATAGACCCCTAGTATAACAACATTTGAAACTGTACCCTACTTTGCATTCACAAGGCACTCTTGATTTCCTGCAAAATTGCGTATAAAGAGAGGAGAAGACCAGCATCTCGAGGCTGCACGCGATATTTGCAAGCCATTCCTCAACACAGCTCTTATCCTTTTCTACCAACTACATGTCTCTTATGCATATGGACTTTTCATTAGCATTGACCGTGGTTTCTTCCAAGGAAAAGCAATGCTCTGGAAGGGTCTACATCTCTGGTTGTGGTCTTTGGGCTCTTAGAAACTAAGAATGCTTGTTTTCTTGGTAAAATGAAGCCCAGCCTTTAAGGTTCATAGTATTTAGTAAGTCATAGGTTGAAAAACAGGCTGTGTAAATTACTTTTTTTTCATGAGTCAGGACCCGGAAATCTTGTGCTTAAACCAAATCATTTATGAGAACTGCTTAGCATAAAAGTGACCTGAGGGCCGGCCGAGTGGCACGTTGGTTAAGAGCTGGCTTGGGATGCCAGAAGGCCCCGGTTCGGATCCCACATATGAGGGCCAGTGACACTGCCCTCTACAGCTAAGATGCTGAACAACAGCTCAACCTGGAGCTGGGCTGCTGTGGGTCACCAGTGACGGCATAGGCTGCAGCCCCTGCTGCAGTGGGTTGCCATGGGCTACCGTGTGTAGCCAGCAGCCAGCGTGAGCAGCCAGCAGCCACCGTGAGTGGCCGTCCAGAAGCTGGCGACTGATCTGCCTCGCCCGGGAAGAGCACAATGATGGTGCCAACTTGGGCCAGTGAAGCAACGTCCTCCACAACTAGACTGAAGAACAAAACAACAGCAACTTGTCTGTTCCCCTTCCCCTGATTCCCCAGCACTGTTCCCCTCCCCCAATTCGCCAATAAAATCTTTAAAAAAAAAAGTGACCTGATTCAAGTCAAGCATCAGACAAGGCCCTCTACTCCTTCCCATTTTCAAGCGGCCCCCTCCCATGGCTCCCACCAAGCTTAAGAATCCCTTGGCTTCGTTTCCCTCCTCGTGGGTCTTTTCTGCCCCATAACCCCGACACGGACTTCTTCTGTAGGAGATAGCAGCTTTGAGTAGGAACACTTCATGCCTCCAGCCCACAATCTCAACAGAGGATATTTCCAGGCCTATCCTGGGGAGGACCCTGGGGGTAGAATGAATTAGACATGTTCTGCTTAGCCTGGATCATCTGGGACCTTTACTAGAAAAGCACAAAATTCTGAGGCACAGAGGGAGCAACAGCAAGAAAAGTGACCAGGTCTTCAGAACCTGTCATGTGCAGGCACTGTGCTGGAACAGTTTCATCTCCACCTCACAGCAATCCTGCCATATAGGGATGAGGAATGTTGGAGACAAAGAGTGCATCCATCTTTCTTTTCAGGGCTCATCTGGGGACGATACAATCCCTATATACAATCTGAAACACTGCCCAGCTGCACTCAAAGATGTTTCTCCTCCACTGGGTCACCAGTCACAGGTCACCAGTCACAGGTCACTGCCTGGTGGTCACTGAGTTGTCAATGGCAGATTCTGTTGGAGTCTTGCAACATATAGAACAGTCCTGAAACTGATCATTTCCCCCCACCCCCCTAATACACTAAGCCAGAACTGGATCTAAAGAATCATAGTTTATAAGGCCAGAGTAATTTAAAAGGAAATATTCTTTGTTCATATTCTTGAAGGGGACCCCGATTCAAACTCTATAGCATAATTTCAAAAGCGCTCACTCTTCCTCTATTATCAAGTTCTCTTTCACCACTGCCAACATCACTACTACCACTCAAGCTGACCTGGAGGTTAAGTGCCAACGCCCAAAACTCCTTTTTCAACAGCAGCCACCTCTTTCCATCCCTTCATTACTTTACTTAACTGCCAACCCTTTTAATGTAGATCAATTTAGCCCTTCCCCTACCCCAATCCCCACCCACCACACAAGAATCCTTTCTTTTTAAGAGGAGATTGGGAAAAACCAAACAGGCTGATAAATGCAAGCTTTTCTTTCAGAGATATAGCAAATTAACATTAAGGCATTAATAGCATATGTTGATATTGCACATTATTACATTAACATTGTACATTAGTACCATACATTACTCCATTAATGTTATACATTCATACATTCACACTATTGCCCTCACCTCGATGTGGTCAGGCCTTCCATTGGGATGGACCCCTTCTGGTACTCCAACTTGGGCTTGAAGGACTCTCTGGGCAGGTAAGAGTGATAGAGAGGGTAGTTGTCGGTGTATTCGGAGAGAAGACATGGTTTCTCCGTTTTATCGTAAATCTTGGTAGGGAGATGTGGACAGTGATGCCGCCTATAAAAACACATGAGGTTGGGTTGGTTACCTTCTTGGGAAGAATACATCCAGTTCCTCAAAATGTGACCCAGACTATAAAATCATGACTGTGGGCATTGAAAACTGGAATGTAACCCTTCCTTCTCTCTACCAAACTATGTGAAGTTGCCAGAATTATTTACATGATCTAGAACTGCAATTGGTTAACTGCCAAAATTCCTTGGGTCATAAAATTGCACACAAGCCTAGCTGATGTTCAGCCATTGCACTTGCCATGCTGCTTGTTTAAATACTGCCCTTATAACAGGTAAATGTTTGTGGCCCCCAAGCCCTCTGAGTGCCAACCCAGCTGTGCCAGACCCTCCCCCTAAGACCTCCCCAAGCCTCCCAATCACCCAGAAATTAAGGGCTTAATACCTGACAGGGTGCTCCAAAGCTGTGCTCCAGGATACTGTCTTTCCTCATTGGCTCTTGGGTCAGGATATCGTCCTTGCTCACAAGTGGCATCACATAGCAGAACCACCTCAGTTCTGACGATATTAAATGCCATGGACTACGTGAAACCGTTTTCACATTGAAAGTCTGGTTCCTTTATTCTTTCAGGTCTCGCTTCAATTGTTGCCTCCTTAGAAAGACTTCCACTGATCATCTCATATCTAAAGTACCCCCCACCACCCCCTTCCCTCTCATAGTTTATCTCATCCCTGTGTATGCCTTTCTCATCACTTACTGTTGTCTGTAATTGGTATGTTTGTTTATTGTCTGTCTCATCTGTCAAGCTCAGGACCGTCTCTATCTTGTTCACTGCTATATCCCTAGTACTTCATATCCTCTCTGGCACACTGTAGGCATTCAGTACACATTTATTGAACAAATAACTGAGTACATAAATGAATGGATAAATAAACTCTATGCCTCACTACACAGTAGCCAATAAATAATAATTTGCAGTTGTACTTTATAGCGAGTTTTTCCATTTTATATGCACAGTAATAAATGAACCTTATTATTCTACCTACTGCTGGACAAAGAGCAGCCATTTGAGCTCCAAAAACTAAGAAGTGTATCAATTATTTGTGTACCCACATACAAACTCTTCACAAACAAGTTGGGGTAATTCTAGTCATCGGACACTAGCATATCAACAAAACTCCATTAGTGATTTCCAACTTAATTATATCAAGGAATGGCACAGAATTATTGTAAAATTTTTTTATGCTGAACTGATTTGAATTACAGAAACTAAAATACATAGCACTTCGGGGCAGCGCATAGGGGAGAAGCAAGAGAAAGAAAGAGGGAGAGAAACAGACATACAGAGAACTCATCACTGCTCTAATTTAAAGGTATTGGGATGTCGGAAAAGTCATGACACATATTTGCAACGAAAAACAGAAAAAATATGTCATGATTTTTCTGACAACCCAATATTTTCCAGCCAACAATTAGTATGTTGCTCTTGTTAGTAAGTTCAGCTCTCTACGTAAATATTGCTGCCACCACTGGTATCACTGTGTACCTCTCTTCAACTCTCCAACCCCCAGAAAAAATGATTGACATCTGTATTGTTCACATAAATAGAACTGCATATAAACAAATGCCTTTAGAGATAGCCCTATGTATTTTCTTCTTGATTGTAGATTTGTGTCTTAGAAAAGTCTTAAGATGATATAAACTTGTCTCATTTACTTTTTCTTTTCGTTATTATAAAAGGACTTGATTCATGGTGAATATTTTAAATTTGCCTAATTACTTCCACAAATATTTTGTCCTTGTACTATGAATATCTGAGTTTCACAGTATTAAATACACTCAGTAAAAGTTTAGTTTTCCTTTTTCAAAATGCACATTGTTGGCATTTAATATACAAAAATGAATATGTATTTACATATATTTAAGAAAGTATCCCCTAATCATAGGTACATAACTTGAGTGCTTTAATCTTCTGTCCACTCAAGATAAATTGTTGTGTTTCATGGTAAACAAAATAACCATCTCCTGCAATTTAAAAATGTTAGCTATTATTACCATTTCTGTGCTCATGATCAGGCCAATTATCTGAGATTTCAATCTGAGCCAATTAGTACCCTATTATTTTAGTATTCCTACAAAACTCAAATCAAAAGCCAAGAAGTGTTGGTACCACAAATATATACTGCAGATATATTTTATTCACCCATACTCTTTGAAAGAAAAGTAAAGATTTTATCAAGGATAACTTAGATTCGGTCACTTGCAATAAAATGGACTCCACAGACAGCAATATTTGCCCTCTTCCAGTGCCCATGTTTTTTAAACCAGTAAGACTTTGCTTTTTATCTAACCCCCTTTCCATATTGTTCCTTTTTAAAACTGTAATATACTATAAAGGCTTGTTCAAAAAAAAAATAGGGCTAGCCAAGTGGCTCAGTTGGTTAAGAGTTGGCTTAAGAGCGCAAGCTCTGAGCAACAGGGCCACCGGTTCGATTCCCACATGGGCCAGTGAGGCTGCACCTGAGCTGAACTGTCGCTGAGCTGCCAACAGGTGGCACGATGGCTCAGCTGGTGTAGCAAGATTGCCTGTTCGATAGTGGGCTTTGCCCACCCACAACTAAAACTGAACTTGGCACCTTGAGCTGAGCTGCCGCTCGGATGGCTCAGTGGATAGAGTATGTGCTCTTAACAAGGCTTCTGGTTCGACTCCTGCATGGGATAGTGGCTATGCCCACCCGCAACTAAGATTGAACACAGCACCTTGAGCTTAGAGGCCACGAACTGCCGACAGGAAGCCAGATGGCAACTGGCACCCTCCACAACGAAGACTGAAGAACAACAACTTGGCTGGTCCCCTTCCCCAATTCCCCAACACTGTTCCCCTCCCCCAATTCCCCAATAAAATCTTTTAAAAAAAAAGATAAATTAAATGGCAAAATACTACACTGTGACTGGTTTCATAAGAGGGGATTTTAGTATAGAACACACTTGCATCCAGAGATTGATGTTCTATTAAATAGCATTATATCTAATATATATTTATAGGGCAGGTTTTATTTATTTGATTTGTTGCTAATTAACTAGAATTTTGTCTCACTCTGAAATACCAAAATTCTTATTTGAAAGTAAATGTTTCATTCCCTGAGTTTGCTCATGGGGTAACCCCCTTTCCTTACCTGTACCCAAATACCCTGAATATCCCTCTCAAGTCACCAAGCACCATGGAATCTCCTTGTTGGTCTCTATCCAGGGGATCCTCAAAGATGAAGATCAAGTCTGGCATCTCTGTGTTCTGGAAGCTAGCCCAGTGCCTGGTATGTTTGTTTAAGAGATGGATGGACAGTTGGATGGTGTATAAAAGGATAAACTACTGAAAGAAAGATATTTACAAAGAAAACGAATTGTTCTAACATCAGTAGAGCAAAAAGGGAAAAGACAGATTCTCGGTTTTTATGGATCTAGATAGTGTCTAAAGAAAGTTTGGGGAGGGCCAGCTGAGCAGCTCAGTTGGTTAAGAGCTCACTCAAGAGTGAGAGCTCTGAGCAACAGCGGTTCGAGTTCCGCCCGAGCTGAGCTGCCGCTGAGCTGCCTACAGGTGGCAGGATGGCTCAGCTAAAAAAAAAAAAAGGTTTGGGGTATTTAAAAGTAATCTTGACAGTCATGAACCAAAGAAATGAGACCCCTTCGAGATCTCTGATACTTGTATCATTTTAGGAGCTGCCTTGACCATCTTGATCAGGAGCACACTCAAACAATCCTACATGGGTCAGTGGGCATTGAAGGGAAGGGAGGGAGCAGGTGCTTACATCTATCAGAACTCTCTAAAGTCTTTCCATGCCAGGATTTATTTAAGGACCAGAAGTAAAAGGAAATAATTCTGACTTTTCCTGATATATGGTAAAGGGCGTAGTAGAGGCCTTTCAATGGAATCCGGAAAAAGGAAAACAAAAAGTTGACTCCAAGCTAGAGTGATAAAATCTTAAAGCTTGTAAGGAGAACAAAATCGGTGGAAATGCATGGCTTGTCTTGCCTCTAACATGGTCCTTTGGAATCCCCTCCTGAGCCTAGCCTGACGGGGGCATAAGAGGGCTCTCCTCCACTCCGGGAGGCAGACTGCATGGTGGAAAGAGGCTGTGGAGGCAGAAAGATCTGGTTTCCCATCCTAGCTCTGCCACTGACTGCTTCCTAATGTTGAAAAAATTAGTTCCTCAACTCTTCTGAACTTCAGTTTCCTCCTCTGTAATATGTGGGTAACGGCTTCTACTTTAGTATGCTTACGAGTGTATGGATTAAAGCAGATACTGAAGGTAAAAGGCCTAGCCCAGTCCAAAACAAGCACCGTGTAACTTAACAGGCTACGTTTATTGAGAAATTACTACATACCACATGGGCTAAGCTTTTTATACATTAGCCAATCTAATCCTCACAGCAATGCTATGAAGGAAGCACCATTATTATTCAATTTACAAACATGAAAGCTAAGGCAGAGGAGAGGTTATCTCGCTCAAGGTCACAGAGCCAGAGGGTGATGAAATCGGGACTAGAACCCCAGGTCTGCCTGGTTCCAAAGCCTGTGCTCTTAACTATGGTCATATACTGAGTGGCTTAATGGTATGCCAGGCTTGGGGGACACCAGCCTGTACCGCACCCCTCTGTTCCTGGCTGCTCTGATAAACCCAAAGGCACTCAATTAATTGGCAGTTCTTAGACCCACTCCTTCCCCATCCCCTTAGCTACACTCAGAGTCTTCCAAGGCAGGGCAGTCTTCCCTCTTCCACAGACCCGGAAATTATTCTAACACAAACCAACAAATATATATACAAGGCCAAATACTCTTTAAAACTCTGACCTTTCCACAGAACTTTGCGGAACTGTCTAAACAAGAGAGTATCATTAAAGCAGTAACAGCAACAGCCAGGGAAACAAAGAATATGGAATGCTGGATCAAGAAGGACCCCAGAGATCAGCTGGCCCTA